TAATGTCTCTGGTGCAAGCAGTCCTTTTGTACCATCACTGTAACACTTGAAGCATACTTAAAGAGCACGTCCAGTTACTCTCCTCCATTTGCCTACTTTAAAGGAATAATTCTGCTTGCTGCACACCTCAAGGTGGTATGAATTGAAGGAAATATATCGTCCACACCAATAAGAGCATCACAATGAAAGTTGTTGTTAAGTACCATGGAGTTGGTTCCAACTCATAATGACCCTGTATAGGGTTTACAAGGCTGTAAATCTTTACAGGAGCAGAAAGCCTCATCTTTCTCCCACGGAACGGCTGGTAGTTTCATACTGCCAACCTTGAGGTTAACAGCCTGATTTGTAACCACTATGCTACCAAAGCTCCTTACAATGAAGGTAAGGAACTGGAAATACAATGGAGAAAGATGCTGACACATTTAATAAATGAGAGGATACAAGAAAGAATGAGTTCTTGATGTCCAGCATCAGAGGTATTCGTGGGTGTTAGAAGAGAAACGAGCACACTACATGGGGAGAGAGAAAGAACTAAACTGGAAAACCGGTATTCTAGGGCCTTCGTCTAGGGCTAAAAGCTATAGTGCCCTTCCAGCCCCATTCTATGGTATATACATGTTAAACTGTAAATTGTCAAACCGATTTTTATCCATGAGATAAGGGGGATAAGGACACTTGCACCTGAGGCAGTGGATTATTGTTGTTGGTCAGTGCTGTGAGTCAGTTCTGACTCATAGTGGCTCTGTATATGGTTTCCAAAGAGTGGATGTTGGGTTTGAACCACAAACCTTACCATTAGCAGTCCAGTGTTTACCCTATAACACCACACCATGGCTCAAAAAACAGAATACAGACTCATTACTGACAAGTCTTATGTTACAGTTAATTTATTTTGACTTCCCTGGCCCCCAAATAATGACCATCAACACTGTCTGCTTGCTATGTCCCTATGTTGAGGTAAAATTTTCATTCATATACACAAAGTCTACAAAGAATTCCCAGAAGTTGTATGGGAGAGGTGAGGAAAGAGGAGGAAAAGAGGGAAGAAGGAAAAGACATTCTGTAGACTCTCCCATGGTCCAGCAGATGGAGCAAGAAGTACATCACACTGCCCTCCAAACAAGCAAGAGAGTCTAAGTGCAGAAATAGGATCAAAATGCCACTGTTTGTCTTCCTCACCAGTTTACTTTGCTGTTTTGTTTTGTTTCATCTTATTTGTGGGACTTTTGTTTGATTTAAGATCAAAAAGTCAATTTGTCAAGACCTATTCCCCAAACACTGCCTTCTGCAAGACATGAATTGTCTACAGGCTCACTCCCTGACCACTGCCAGGAAGAAACAAATTTGAGTTTGAATCGCATCTTCTCCTCTTAATAGAAATAGCTAAGTGACTTGAAGAAAGTGATGTTTTCCCTGGGCCTCACTGTTCTCATTGGCAAAACAAAGGCAATGATAGCTACTTCACAAGGTCATTGTGAAGATTAATGAATACTCAACACCAGTATAATATAGAGTGCACAGAGCAAAGGAGAAATTCATTTCCTGTCTTCTGCCAACAATTGAGAAGAGACACCCAGAAAACATAGAACACAGTGCAGGATACAAGAAATCTTTTCTCCTGAATGCTGTCATGTCTAAGCAGTAAGTCACTAACCAAGCATGTTGTTGTTGTTGTTATGTGCCATGGACTCGGTTCCAACTCATAGAAAGCCTTCTCTTTCTCCCACGGAACAGCAGGTAGTTTCAAACTGCTGACGCTGAGGTTAACAGTCCGATTCATAACCACTAGCTACCAGAGCTCCGTAGGGGACAGGAAAACTCACATGCTCAACCCAGTTACCGTGGAGCAGACACTATGATAAAGTCATGGATTTCTGATTGGAAAAGGACTTTTGTAATAATCTAGTTGGACACTTTGCTGTTTATTGGTGGTGGTGGTGGTGGTGGTGGTGTGCTGTGGAGTCAGTTCCAACTCATAGGGACCCTGCATAGGGTTTCCAAGGCTGTAAGTCTTTCTGGGAGCAGAAAGCCTCATCTTTCTCCTGTGGAATAGTTGGTAAGTTTGAACTGCTAACGTTGGCAGCCCGACTTGTAACCACTATGCTAGCAGAGCAACTACACGGCCATATAGAATCCACACAACTAGCACACAACAATCACAACAGTTATAGGAAAGCATTAATCCCCAAAGCACTTTCACCTGGAATACTCTTCATTCCTAACCTCCCCACAACCTTCTGGCAACAGCAGGTTCCTGCAGGAAATCAGCCCTCACTCAGCAAATTCCACCTGCCCTTCACACCCATAGTCTCAATCACACCTTTATAAAGGTCATTTCCCTTATGAAGCATGATGGCTGGCCCAAATCAGGCATCCAGAGCAAACCCGAACACAGAGTGGATGCTGACTCTCAGCCCTCTGGGCAGCTCTTAGAAGAAAGCACGTAACCTAGTAATGACTGACTTGGGAATCATGTAATTTCTCATTTGCCAATAATTACTACCACTCCTTCCAAATCTTGATTCTAAATTACACAAGTTTTGAGTTTATGAAACTTCAAGCACCTTCAGTGAAATTTCTTATATGTTCTCCATGGATGGAATGCAGAACAAGGTCTTCAGGGAGAAGCAGAAAGTCATTCATTGACTTCCAATGCTGAGATTCAGTTTATAATCAAGTGAAATTGTGTCTTTGTAGATGAAATTGGCAAGAGAGGTGCAGGTCCTAGTCCTATTCTGGAAAGGTGGAACTTAGTCAGTGGAGATCACTGTAGCCATGGGCCTCATTCTTCTTTTTATTCGATACAAACTGACAAGTGTTTATTATGTGTCTTTATGAATCATACAATAGGCTAGATCTCAAGTAACCTGTCCAATCCCTATTTTATAGAGCACATAGCCTAGAAATGATATAGCCACATAGACAAACACATATACGTGTGTGTGTGTGTGTGTGTGTGTGTGTGTGTGTGTGTGTGTACTGCAGGCAAATGTGTTGGACTGAAGAGACAGTTTGAACTACAAGGTCAGAAGTTCAAGCTCACCAGTCGCTCCTCAGAAACCTTATAGAGGGTTGTTATGAGTCGGAACTGATTGGATGTCACTTAAACAACAACAACATACATTAATAGATTCTATGCATATGCATATGAAAAAAGACACCAAATAATAATTAGTAGTTACTTCTGGTTAGTGGGATTGCAAGTATTTTCATTCTCTTACCTTTGCTAATCAGTATTTTTTTTTCTTTTTAGAAATAAAAATTAATATCATAAAAAAAACTTTAAATATTATAATATAGCATGTCTGATAAAATGACAAAATTATTAATGAAATACACAATTATAACTGTCTTTTGAGTAATACAAGACATTTCATAGATGAACTATGAACTAGGTTTTGAAGAATAAATAGAAGCCCACTAGGCCAACTATAAAGGAATTCTGGTAGAATAGTGTTCATGAGTCGGGCTATTAGGCTCAAGGGCAGCAGTTTGAAACTACCAGCCGTTCTGCAGGTGAAAGATGAGGCGCTCTGCTCCCATAAATATTTACAGCCTTAGAAATTCTATGCAGAGTCACTATGAGAAGGGACAGACCCCACAGCACACTACCACCAGCACCACTACCACGCAGACTACAAGGCAAGGCATTCCAAATGAAAGAATGAAATATCAATAGCATGTTCAGGAATGTTAAAATAGTTTCTTACTGATGGGCCATAAAGGGAAATAGGAAGAGAGGAAATGCCATAGCAGATGTGATTCATGAGTACCCTGAATATAATGTTAACAAGCATGGATTTCTTCCTATGGTTGCCTAGCAGTTAAACTGAGAACTACATTGATGAATAGAAACTAACGTTTGGTAAATTGAGTCAGCTAAAGAGCTGGAAAGGAGGGCCTCTCATTATCCATCCCAAGATAGAATAATAGCAAAAACTACTTCTTCATTGGAATCTTAGATTAAAAATCTAGTTTGGAATAAGAGAGTTTCACTGGATGATCTTTAAGGTTCCTTGTAAACAACAAAAATGAGGATTTGGGGATGAGGGCCCTGGCGTCCCAGAACATGCTCCCTTCAACTTAAAGCCTGCAATTTGTCTTCAAGGCATTGTACTGGATATATTAGTAAATACGCAAAGAGGCCTTTTTGCTAAGTGGCCTAAGACTCTGGCAGATGGGGTTGATACTAGCCAGATTTGGGAATTGCTAATGCAATCTTAGATGAACAAGTAAAGGAGCAAGAAGGTAAACACCAGGGAGGAGGAGCTGGAGGTGGAGCTGAGCTTGTTTGGAAGTGAATCAGGACATTGCAAAGAGAACAGCACCTCCCTAAGATGGACCATTCTTCCCTCTATATAAAGGACACTCTCCCCAACTAGCAGCACCCTGCAAGCTGCTTAGGTCTCCATCCAACTCGCTCCTCTGCTGAATTAGGTAAGTAAGCAGGAGTTGAGCTCCTCTCATGGGTACCTAAGGTATCAATGATATCTATGGCCTAGATATCTTGGGAGTTGTTGAGCCTCTGGTGGCTCTTAGTTGGAGTCAGACATGTCATGTAGATGTTGGGCCTATCTCCTCACCCTGGCCTTCCCCCATCACCCACTCTGGATCCCTGGTGTGATGGTTGGGAACTGGAAGGAAATGACAACTTAAATTGCATGGCACACTCAGGATATCAGTGGCTTCAGAACAAAGCTCAAAAAATGATTCCCATTAGAGGCAGAGATTCCAAAACTGAAATGCATTGCTCCTGAATTCAGTCAGGACTGGAAATAGGAGATATGGATTCCGAACTTCACCACTCTCTTACTACATGACTTGCACAAGTCATTCAATCACAGATTTCTTCTTGATTACAAGAGAATGAAATTAGCCATGTGTGCCTAATTCTTATAAATGATTAGAACTATTTATAGCTTAAGAAATAAAAAATACTAATAGGTGGTAGCTATCTCTTCTCCCCCTCTCCCCTTTAGGTTAACGTAAATTTGTAAAAGATGTCTGAACTCCTACAAAGCATTGTCTCTATCATTGAGCTTTACTACCAATACGCTGCCCAAGACAGAGACAGTGACAAGCTGAACAAAGCAGAGCTGAAAGAACTTTTGGAAAATGAGTTTCATCAAATTCTGAAGGTAAGAACTCCATGCCTGGTCTGAAGACTACATCAATTCTCTTCTTTATTCTTCAGGCCCCTCTGAAGGGATTTTCCTTATTTTAGGAGATGCTAGTGAGAAGGTTTGTAAAAGACTTGAGATAAGGTCAAAAGTTAACCTATAATGATGTTCATAATGGAAACAAAGGAATTGATCCTATTGAACAGCAGACAAACTCCATATATTACATAATTCCTCAACTGTGTGAATAATTCTTACAGAAATTGAGACAAACCTCAGAATATTTGCAAAGTGGTTGTAATGGGACTATAGTCTCTTTATTTGTCTTTCTTTAGATCATTCCAACCATTGCCTATCTCTAAGAGTCTTCTGAATTCAGGGAATTACAATCTTAACACTTAAATCATAAAATACAGTCTATACCACCATAAAATGTCAACAACGAATGATAAATAGATAGATCCATAGCTAGATAGAGATCTTGAGGTTCAGTTCCTTTATTCCAACTGCATACTGAATATTTTTAGAGTATTGTGGATGTCTTAAATTCAGTGTGTCAAATATGAAACTTATCTTCCCTTCTAAACTCACTCCATCTCCTGTTTAGCTAAGGCAGGAACCTGATGCCATTCTTGACTTCTCTCAGCAAGTACTCCCACTCTCTAATCTCCATCTACCTCACGAATAGCCTCTAAAAACATGACTGTTTTTAATCTCCATGACTGTTGTCAGTCCTCTGGTTCAGGTCATCTCTGGTCCTTATCTCAGCATCAAAATCTTCAGCTTAAAGTCCTTCAATATGTCATACAATAGAATCCAAGTTTCTTTAATATGGCATATGATATGCTCTGGTCCTTATTTATCTCTCAAGCCACATCTCTTGATTACTCGGACTTTAAATCTAAAGACTCTCAATCTAGCAATCCTAAATTTCTTTCAGTTCCTGGAAAGAGAAGTAACTTCTCTTTGCTCCAGCCCTTTGTTTATATCACTCCCTCTACTTGGAACATTTCCCTGCCTCTCCTTCCCTTGCATACTTTCATTGGGCTGATCTCTAACAAATCCTTGAAGAGGGATTGTTTGCTCTCTTAAGCCTTTCTTGAAGCTCTGCTAATGGGGCACATCCTTTATGATATTTTCTCACAGAGGCCTTATAACAATAAGTTATCCTTTTAAGTTTGGGTATCAGAGCCACTAAACTTTAATTTCCATTTTGGCAAGAAACAAGCTTAACTTGTTCATTGCTTTAGCTGCTGCACCTAAAACGCTAGGATGACAGTGGGTACAAAATAAACTTTTGTTGAGTAAGTCACTGTTATAACAAAAGAATGAATGATTATTAAAAGCTGGATAAATAAAGCCATAAATAATGCAGATATCCAAAATTACAATTTATGAACTAGCCAATCATTAACTTTTTTCCAATTCATATCAAAATAACCCATGCCGTTGTTCTCTCGCTCATATTCCAATTGTATTATTCACTACATATTCGTTTATGCTCAGTATTTATGCTCTTTCTGATCAGAATAATGCAGTGCAATGGTTGAACTCCATCTAAGTCAGTCAGGCATTCAGTTTCTACATCCATTCTTCCATTAATTAGCTGAGTGTGGGAGCCATAGTTACAGAACTGCCTTTTTTTATCTTATTCCTATACAGAATCCAGATGATCCAGACACTGTAGATGTCATCATGCAAAGCCTGGATCAAGATCATAATAAGAAAGTGGATTTTAATGAGTATCTTTTGATGGTATTCAAGCTGGCTCAGGCTTGTAATAAAATCATCGGCAAAGATCACTGCCAAGCTTCAGGGTCAAAGCAGAAAAACCACAGAT